TAAAGTGATACTCATGAAGAATGTGCCTCTTAGTCAAGTAGATACAGGAGACCAAAGGGGCAGCTTCTGTCCAGAGGTGAGATGGGAAGGCAGAGAGAGTTAGGAGCTGGTTGAATGTTCATGGGTTATCAGGGGCGGAGGGGAGGAGTGTGCTGTCACAGAATGGGGTGAGCGGTCAGCGTCTCATAACAATGTATGTAAAAAAAAAAAAAATTGTACGGGAGACTAACTTGAAGTGTAAACTTCATTTAATTACAACGATAAAAAAAAAAGTCTCTTAAAATTCTACACTTACCATAGCACACCTTACACAACCATATTGGGTTATTTAGATGCCTTTCTTTCTTTCTTTTTTTCATTCTTTCTTATTAGACTAACTTGTTTTTATATTGTCAGAATTTCACTTTTTAGAAACCGCATCTCTTTTTAAAAAGTTCTTCCTATCACAATATAATTTCTACTGTTTTCTCTAAACTTGATAAAATTCATTTCCTTGAAGTGTCACTATTCCCAGTATTCTTTTTGTAACTGTTATGAACTTCAAGATGGCATGGTCACGGTCTCTCACGGTTTTATGGACTACATTTGCAATTCCCATATCAGGTGTCCCTTTGGATCTGTTTCTGTTATATGTTGTTTTTGCTGTTTCTTTGTGTTATGTATGTCCTTATATGCTTGACTATCTTTGATTAGTGCTAGACATTATATTTGAAAAATTGTTTATAGAAATTATTTGAAGCTAGGGATGATATTATCTTCCTTCAGAGATGATTTTCATTTGCTTCTTCTAAGCTCCTGGATACACTAACTTTCCAAGTTTGTCTTTACACTATTTTAGGACTTAAGATTTTTGTGGGCTACCAAAAAGACTGGAAGCCAAGCTGCAGTTCATGCAAGGGCAGGTTTATTTCAGGATCACCTGTACTCCTAGAGTATGGGTCTTTAAATTCCATCCCCCAGCACCAGCATCCTCACACTTAGCAAGCCCTGGCATCCAGTTTTCACCCCTAGCTTTGTGAGGCTGTCAAACACACGAACTATGCAAATACTTCCAAAGCAGATGTGGCCCTGACTTCACAGCTCACCTCTCTGGGATTTTACATTAATATCTACAAAAGCACTTCAGGGGAAAACAATTTAAAATATTATATGAGTAGAGATCTGTAATTTAAAAAAAATCAGGCTTAGATCATTTTTGCAAATTAGTTCTTTTTAATCTTCAAAGAATAATTGGTTTCTATGTTTTTCAAATTACATACTATCAAAAAAGATAGGAAGCTCCCCAGTTCATGTTACGAAGCTAGCACAACCTTAAACCTGGTAAAGCGAGCTTAAACCTCGTAAAGATAGTATGAACACAAACGTATATACACATGCAAAAATTGGAAATAAAATACTAGCAACTCAAATCCAGCAGTATATTTTTTAAAAAGTTATATACTGATCAGTAAGAGTTATCCCAGGAATATAAGGCTGTCTCAATACAGTGAAATCTGCACATAATTCATTATGTCATCAAATTAAAGGGAAAATTATCGTGCCAATAGGTTTTTTTTTTTTTAAAAAAAAAAGGGGGAAAGCATTTGATAAAAATCCAGCAACCTCACTCATAGGGAAGTGCAGAGTAAAACAACAAGGAGGTAACATGCAGGACTGGCAGTATGTGGGGAGATGAGCTCTAACACATTGAGGGTAGTATGAACTGTTACAGCCTTCTGGGGAGAAAAAAACTTATGCTAGCTAGTGATAAAAAGTGCATATATCTTTTGAGTACTCTCACTTCTGGGAATCATTCCTACAAAAAATGGTATATGCTATAATATATGCAAGGATATCTATTTCATAATTTGTAACAATTAAAAACTGGAAACAACATAAATAACTTGATCACTGGAGGAGTGACTGAATAAATGATACTACATCCATACTATGGAATATTATGCAACTATTGACTAGGAGGGATGCCCATGATGATATGTTAAATTGGGATGCAGGGGGACAAAGTATAGATTATTGTACGTAATGTAGTCTGCTGTTTGCATGAGCAGTGAGAAATGCATGAAAGGATTGGGTTAAAAGAGCAGATGGGATTGGTGAAGTGGAGAAATCATTAAGTTTTTCTTTATATTTTTCTGCAATATTTGACTTACTTATGCAGAGTATTTGTTACCTTCATAATAATCACATTTAATGAAGAAAAAAAATGCTAAATAAATTCAAGGTATAAGGATATGGGTTCTAAAGAAGCTGGATTTGACCACAGACATGAAAACAGAAAAACATTATACTGTACCTTATATTATAGAAAACAGTTGTAAGCATTTTCATCCACAACCATTATCACGAATTAACTCCAAAAATAAAGATATTTTATACTAAGAGATGGTGGCATTAATGATTTTTTTCTCTTTTATAGCAACTCCGTTCCAATATCCGAGAAATGGAGACACTTTGTTTGAAAGTCCGAAAGGATGACCTAGGACTTCTGAAGAGAATGATAGATCCAGTTAAAGAAGAAGCATCGGCAGCAACAGCAGAATTTCTCCAACTCCATTTGGCATCTGTAGAAGAACTTAAGAAACAATTTAATGATGAAGAAACTTTATTACAGCCTTCTTTGACTAGATCCATGACTGTTGGTGGTATGTTTTTTTTTTTTTTAATATTTTTTGTTGTTGTTGGCAATATACACAATAGAACATAACCAATTCAACAATTTCTGCGTGTTTTATTCAGTGACCTTGATTATAGTCTTTAAGTTGTAAAATCATTTTCGTCCTCCTTTTCCAAATTGTTCCTCCCTCATTAACATAAACTCACTGTCCCCTAAGTTTCCTGTCTAATTTTTTGAGTTGGTGTTGTCAGTTTGATCCCATATAGATCTTAAAAGAGCACCATGCTCAAGGCAGGCATTCTTTACTAGTTAAGGTAAACTTGTTTGGTTTTAAGAAGACTTCAGGGGATATTTTTGTTTTACAGTTAAAGATTATCTCAGAGCAGTACTTTTGGGAGTTCATCTAGCTTTCATGGCTCCAGAAAGTCTGGATTCCATGGCAGTTTGAAATTGTTTTGCATTTTCTCCTTTTTGATCACAATTCTTACATAGAATTATGCAGAATCCTTGATCAAATTGTTCAGTAATGGTACCAGGCACCATCCAGTTCTTCTGGTCTCGTGGCAGAGGAGGCAGTTGTTCATGGAGGCAGGTAGCCATACATTCCGTTTCTTCCGCCTAATCCTGATTCTCCTTCTCCCTCTGTTGCTCCAGGTGAATAGAGACCAATTGTACGTTGGATGGCTGCGTGAAAGCTTTTAGGACCCTAGGCATTATGCAGCAAACTAGGAGATAGAACAGAAGCACTATTCTTCATCATCGTTGTTGTTGTTAGGTGCCATTGAGTCACTTCTGACTCATAGTGACCTTGTGTACAGTAGAACGAAACAATGTGTGGTCCTCTGCCATCTTCACAGTCATTGTTATGTTTGAGTCCATTGTTGCAGCCACTTTGTCAATCTGTCTCATCAAGGGTCTTCCTCTTTTTCACTGACCCTGTACTTTACCAAGCATGATACCCTTCTACAGGAACTAGTCCCTCCTGATAACACATCCAAAGTACGTGAGACAAAGTCTCTCCATCTTCACTTCCATGGAGCACTCTGGCTGTATTTCTTCCAAGATAGACTTGTTCGTTCTTCTGGCAGTCCGTGGTAAATTCAGTATTCTTCACCAACACCATAATTCACAGGCATCAATTCTTCTTTAGTCTTCCTTATTCATTGTCCAGCCTTCTCATGCATATGAGGTAATTGACAATATCATGGTTTGGGTCATGCTGAAGATCCATCTCACATCAGCAGTGATATCTCTCTTTCCCTGTCCTTTTCTGAATTTGGGTTGACTATCTGGCAGTTTCTTGTTGACGTACTGCTGTAACTGCTGTTTGAGTCATCTTCAGCAAAATTTTACTTGCCTGTGATATTAATGATGATGTTCAATAATTTCTTGATTCTGTTGGATCACCTTTCTTTGAAATGGTCACAACTATGGATCTCTTCCAGTTGGTTGGCCCAGTAGCTGTCTTCCAGATTTCTTTGCATAGACAAGTGAGCACTTCCAGCACTGCATCCATTGGTTGAAACATCTCAATTAGTATTCTGTCAATGCCTGGAGCCTTGTTTTTCACAATGCCTTCAGTGCAACTTGGACTTCTTCCTTCAATACCATCGGTTCTTGATCATATGATACCTCCTGAAATGGTTAAATGTCAACCAGTTCTTTTTGGTACAGTGACTGTGTATTCCTCCATCTGCTTTTGATGCTTCTTGCATCATTCAATATTTTGCTCATAGATAGAACCCTTCAAAATTGCAACTTGAGACTTGAATTTTCTCTTCAGTTCTTTCAGCTTGAGAAATGCCAAGCGTGGGTTCTTCCCTCTTGGTTTTCTAACTCCAGGTCTTTGCACATGTCATTATAATACTGTACTTTGTCTTCTCGAGCTGCCCTTTGAAATCTTCTCTTCAGCTCTTTTACTTCATTATTTCTTCCATTCACTTTAGCTACTCTGTGTTCAAGAGCAAGTTTCAGAGTCTCTTCTGACATCCATTTTGGTCTTTTCTTTCTTTCTCGTCTTTTTCATGACCTTTTGCTTTCTTCATGTGTCACATCCTTGATATCATCCCACAACTTGTCTGGTCTTCAGTCATTAGTGTTCAATACGTCAGATCTATTCAGTTCTTGAGATGGTCTCCAAATTCAGGTGGAATATACTTGAGCTCATATTTTGGCTTATGTGGACTTGTTTTAATTTTCTTCAGCTTCAGCTTGAACTTGCATATGAGCAATTGATGGTCTGTTACAGTTGGCGCCTGGCCTTGTTCTGACTGATGATACTGAGTTTTTCAGTCATCTTTTTCCGTAATGTAGTCAATTTGATTCCTGTGTTTTCCATCTGATAAGGTCCACATGTATAGTCGCCATTTATGCTGTTGAAAAAAGGTATTATATTTGCAATGAATAAGTCGTTTGGTCTTGCAAAATTCTGTCATGCTATCAAATGATGATCTCTGGCATCATTTCTATCACCAAGGCCATATTTTCCCATCCTTCTTTGTTTCCAACTTTCACATTCCAATCACTAGTAATTTATCAGTGCATCTTGATTGCATATCTGATCAGTTTCAGACTGCAGAAGTTGGTAAAAATCTTCAATTTCCTCCTCTTTGGCATTAGTGGTTGGTGCGTAAATTTGAATAATAATCATATTAACTGGTCTTCCTTGTCGGCGTATGGATATTATCCTGTCACTGACAGGGTTATACTTTAGGATAGATCTTGAAACGTTCTTTTTGACGAGTGTGATGCCATTCCTCTTCAGTTTGTCATTCACAGCATAGTAGACCATCTAATTGTCTGATTCAGAATGTCCAACACCAGTCCATTTCAGCTCGCTAATGCCTAAGATATTGATCTTTATGTGTTCCATTTCATTTCTGACAACTTCCAATTTTCCTAGATTCATACTCTGTACATTCCAGGTTCTAGTTATTAATGGATGTTTGCAGCTGATTCTTCTCATTTTGAGTCGTGCCACATCAGCAAATGAAGGTCCTGAAATCTTGACTCCATCCACATCATTAAGGTCAACTTTACTTTGAGGAGGCAGCTCTTCCTCAGCTGTGTTTTGAGTGCCTTCCAGCCTGAGGTGCTCATCTTCTGGCACTATGTCAGACAGTGTTCTGCTGCTATACATAAAGTTTTCACTGGCCAGTTTTTTCAGAAATAGACTGCCAGTTCCTTCTTCCTAGTCTGTCTTAGTCTGGAAGCTCAGCTGAAACCTGTCCACTAAGGGTGACCCTGCTGGTATTTGAAATACTGATGGCAAAGCTTCCAGTATCACAGCAACACACAAGCCACCACAGTACGACAAACTGACAGATGCATTTGGTGGATTCTTGATCATAGTAAAGTAATTAATTGTAGCTCATCTCCCTGTGTAGATATTGCAAATTATCTATAGGACACCAGGGATCATCTGTTATTCCAGTTCCAAGTGGCTGAACCCGTGGACTGAGTATGTCTGGAAATTCCTACCAAGAAAATTTTGCAGAATAAAAATTTAGAGGCTATACTGTATGAAGTGAAATTTTAGGACCTCAAGTACCTGTTTCTCTGTTTCTCTATGTATTGAAAAGAAATGTAAAAATATTTTCTAAGGGATCTCATCCTTGCATGCAGACTGCTCGTCACTCATTTGCAGGTGGAGGGGTGACCTGTTCTGGCTCTGTTAGGCGTGTTTTTTTCTTAGGCATTCTAGTTTGCATAGAGGATGTTAGATCAGTCTCCCAGTTCAGTTCTCTGAATTCAACTGACAATATAAAAAAACCTGCATTGGGGGTCCTGCTATCAGTGCCCTGTGAAAACTTGTCATTATGTTCTTCTAAAAATATAATTGATAGTTATGGATTATGTTATAGTAACATCTTCCTAAGGAAGCCTGAAAAAAATTCTTGATTTAGTACATAGCAGTATTTCTGAGCAGCTGCTCTGTTTTTGTCTTATGAGTATTAAATCCTTTCACCATACTTATTCAATCTGTATACTGAGCAAATAACCCAAGAAGCTAGACTATTTGAAGAAGAACACATCAAGATTGGAGGAAGACTCATTAACGACTGTGATATGCAGATGACATAACCTTGTTTGCTGAAAGTGAAAAGGACTTGAAGCACTTACTGATGAAGCAAAAGACTACAGCCTTCAGTATGGACTATACCTTAACATAAAGAAAACAAAAATCCTCACAACTGAACCAATAAGCACCATCATAATAAATGGATAAAATATTGAAGTTGTCAAGGATTTAATTTTACTTGGATCCACAGTCAATGCCCATGGAAGCAGCAGTCAGGAAATCAAATGACATATTGCATTGGGCAGATCTGCTGCAAAAGACCTCTTTAAAGTGTTAAAAAGCAAAGATGGGACCTAGAGGACTAAGGTGCACCTGACCCAAGCCATGGTATTTTCAGTCGCCTCATCTGCATACGAATGCTGGGCAATGAATAAGGAAGACTGAAGAGTTGATGGCATTTGAGTTATGGTGTTGGTGAAGAATATCGAATATACCATGGACTGCCAGAAGAACAAACAGGTCTGTCTTGGAATAAGTATAGCCAGAATGCTCCTTAGAGTCAAGGATGGTGAGACTTTGTCTCACATACTTTGGACATGTTATCAGGAGGGATCAGTCCCTAGAGAAGGACATCATGCTTGGTAAAGTAGAGGGTCAGCAAAAGAGAGGAAGACCCTTGATGAGATGGATTGACACAGTGGCTGCAATGATGGGCTCAAGCATAGCAACGATTGTGAGGATGGCACAGTACTGGGTAGTGTTTTGTTCTGTTGTATATAGGATTGGTATGAGCTGGAACCAACTCGATGGTACCTAACAACAAGTAGTTCTGAGCAGTTACTCTCTTTTTGTCTTTTGAGTATTGAATGGCATAACTGATAAGGCTTTCCTACTTGAGTTGTCTGCTGAAAAGCTTAAAGCCAAAATTTTTAACCCACCAAAAGCCAAATTTTTAACCTATCCTGACCTTATTTTATAATTGGTACTCTTATTTTTCCCTCTTTTTT